AAAAAATCTGGTTCCTGTTTCCTGTGGTTACTGAATCATTATTAGAATGGAAGTTTATATGTTCGTGGTATTTGCAGAATTATGATCATCTTTCATACTGTTTTGAGTTTTTTCATATAATGGTTGATAACTCCAATAATATCTGGCTCGAATATAAAAATAACTGACTGATGAAACAGGTTTTTCAATAGTTATTTCGACTGTCTCTTTGACTACTGTGACTTTGAGAAGCACAAATATCCCACCCATCTATTACTGAAGGCTCGAACATTTATGAACCAAAGAGTCTCTTTCAATTCGTTCATCACGTGATCTTGTCCGAGGTGTCTACATTCCTCATAATCCATGGAAAATGCTAATAATCAATTAGTGGATATGGAAAATCAAGATGAGTTGGGGTGGGTATGTTTTCCGTACGAAGTGTTCCGTAGAATTGATCAATAATTTTCATGACCGATATTTCAGAAACTTTCATCTTTGTTCAATTTTGCAAGCGACGTTCCTCAACGGGCATTGCTTTGCTTCATCAGTCTTAATACGTATATACAGGTTCTGGAGTTTATCGATCAGATAATTATTATCATTAATCTTCATCAGAATGGTGTTTTTGATTGAAAATTTTGTTATAAATTCGAAATTGATTTAGCTGACTATAAGAAATCTATACTGTATTAGCTGAAGATTGATATCGAATATGCGTCTGAAAAAGCAGATATTGTGATCTCATTGGTTTGACTACACTACAACTCCGTTTCGGAGCAGATGTTGAGGTGTCAAATGATTGTATATTCTGTATTCATATCGATTTCAAACAAAGATGCTATAATACTGAGCCTCAGGAATGAAACAACATAACTTCTCACGATAGATCTATCTATGATCCGCCAATCTACAGATCCGAATTCAATTCAGGAGGTACATTCGAATAGGATTTGAATAAGAAAATAGCATACAGACAACAGGAGTGTTTGATGAAGCTGAATATAGGCGGTATGATATCGAGAAAGTTCTAGACGGACGGCCGACTTCAATAAATCATTTCTAGTAGATCTAATAAAAAGTAATGTTCGTTCGTACAAAAAGTCAGATGGAACAAATCAGTTAACCCTATTAAACGATCATCAGGCTGATAACTTGTTCGGTGGTCCGACACGTCTTTGTTTCTTCTGGCAGTTGTTTTTCCACCAGTCTTGATTAATGCTTTCAGTGGGAGCACTCATCATGGCCGTCATCCATCACCATCTGTTCACGCTCCTCCAGGATAATAAAGCGAACGCAGCTACAAGAGAAATCTTTCAAAGAATTACGGTCGACAATGGTCGAAAAACCATTCCAAATCGTTTCTGGAAAATTACACTGATTCCATGCTCTCGATATTGTCACGTACGGGAAGTGACAAGTGACTCCTGAGTCGAGAAGACAAATTATACCCACAGGTCAGATATTGGGAAAATGACCGCTCAAATTTGCTACAAAACCGCGTAGGTACACGATGCGAGAGGTATATGGTTCGATTTTTTTATGGTAAACTGTCCAAGTTCTATCAGCATCCCAGACATCTAGAGGTAGTTCAGATTTCACTATTAACTGTTCTCAACCTTGCTAAGTTTGAGATTCTGATTAGTTGATTTCTTTCTTGTAGCAATATAATCATGAAAAACAAGAGAGTAGCTTTAGAAGAAACGGAAATAAATATCAAAATAAGCAATTTTCAATAATTTTGAATGAAATCTGATGAATTAAAGCTATCCAGTAAATAATATTTCCAATGATTTTTTTTTTACTTTCAGCAGAGATTTTTCTTGAGGATTGTCATATTGATTGATGGAGAATTCTGTTCTAATATTGAAGAGTTTTATGGTCTCTAGATGGCAATAATTACATGATATAGAATAGAATAAAATATCTTCATGTAAAAATCGGCATCTTCTAAGAGGATGATATTCTCGACACGTTGGGTCATTAGAGCTGTCAGCAGACTGAAAGGAACTTGTAGTGAGGGTTACTCAGCTGTGTGCACCTGTAGATTATTTAATTCGGACCTCATTCGTACATACATATATTGTATAATAGTGTGTATATAAGACAGCCTTGTCACATTTCCACTACGTCCCGTCACTTTTTATTAATTCCAAAGAAGGCCGTGGAAATAGATCTCATACCGTGGCACAGGCGTCATTTAGGGGGGGCAGGCTGGGGGAAAGGAAGGCATTCCCCCCCCTAGATTTTCCAAGAAAAATTCAATTCACGAAGATTCTTCCTGTGATCACATACATATACATTCGGAGAATGTGAGAAGAATCCAATTATTCAAACATCATTGACAGTAAAAGGAACCTGTTTCAACGATTAACCATCAACAGGAGACCAAATCAAATTATTCGGTCTAATTCCTATACCTGCTCCATCACAGTTTTCTTCAACTGTATAGTGAGCAACAATGTCCTCTATCAGTTGATCTACACTATCTGCTAGTACTGTCGAATTCACATATTGTTGACCGCTTGTAGAGGCACCGCCATCGTTGAATTCACGCAAAGCAACTAATGGTGGATTTATGCAGCAGTTTTAAGTAATAAGTTTTAAGTCTTAAGTATTAAGCCATAAGTCTTAAGAAGATCATTCATTGCGTTTCAATATAAACGTTCATACAATTGTCATAAGTTTTAAGTCATAAGAAAAGTTGGCCAACATTCATCTCTTACGACTTACTACTCAAAACTTATGACTAATTTGCTCTGCGCATGAGCTGTGCGCTGCCATTTGTAATTTTGGTCTGTTTACATTTGTTTCAATGGAATCAAAACCAAAACAAATATTCGTAACTGCTGAATAATAGAAAAAAAAATCTGTGTTACCTCAAACATGGAAAAAACTGAAAACAATAAGCAAAATGAGCTAATGATCAGGGGTGCTTTTCTTATGATATGACAGTCCTTATTATTGCTGCATGAATCACCATTTTCACCTTACGACTTAAAACTTGTGACTTAAAACTTACGACTTAAAACTTAAGACTTAAAACTGCTGCATAAATCCACCATAAAGGAACTACTATCAGAATCAATGGTTGATGAACTGCTATCACTTGGCTGATATTCATCAGGAAACTCGCTAACATATCACTCTCGATCTCCTTCAGATAAAATGTCGTTCCAAAGTGCTCCAAGTCGTTCTTGTTCTCTTTCGTATTCACCCATTGTGCCTAAAGGCTTTTTACTTTTGTTAGCCACTTGATAAGACACCAGTGCAGTTGATGGAGTGATGCGAATGACTGAAATAAAACAGTAAATGAATGCGGTGAATCCCTTCCCGTCTAAACACGTCTGAGCCTGTAGATTTGATGCGACACAACATGTATGTCGCATGGCCTTTATACCATTTGATGATCGTCACAGGCCGCGTGACACACAAGAGATGCCTCAGAAAAAAAGGCCAATAGAAAAAAATTCATCACCAATCGACAAAATTCGTGGAAAGACATATAAGGTGATGCTCAATTATGTCAAAACCGATATCCTTGTGTGGCGGACTAGCGTCTGGAAAAGGAGGACGTAAATTTCACAATTGCGACGACAGAGACTTTTTTATTATGCATCTGCAGATGACATTATTTCGACAAAAAATTATAACTTTGATATTATCGGGATAAGGTCAATGATATTATAGGGGCGGATGAAGTTCCCAGCAATGCCTAAAAAATTGTGCTAAATACATGGCATTCCATTTGAAAAAGTGCCCCCGGCTCTCTAGTTTTTTTTTTCTGTGCGTCATCTATATGCGCCAATAATTTATTGTTATGTACCTAAATAGTTCTCTCATTCACATTCATTTTTGTATAATGTTTTTAGCTATCATAGATCTCGGGTAAACGTGCTCCGAGGCACTATTGCCCCACCCATGTATACACATTCCTGAAAAAAAAATCACTAAAAGAAGACTTACGAAGGTATATTCACACCCTAATGTATATATATAATATTTTTTCGTGAAATTGATGAAAACATAATTATAGGCCATAGTGAGTACACAAGATATATAACAATATAATCTCGCATTCTACAGTTCTACAAGCTTTCATAATGGAATGGTTTAAAAATGTTTTTCATCTCTTGGCGCGCACGAAAGAGGATCTCCTCAATGTTTCTTAGATGGATAAATATATGTTATGATATGTTCTACCCCGTTGGGTAACTGTAGTAGTGACAACAAGTGGTTTGAAAAAGGAAGATAATAATGAAGAAGATATTCACAACTCATGAATATATAGCGAAGTGTATATAAATGATTTCTTCATCTTGCTCGGGGTTGGAAACGCCGGAGAGGGTTAGTGTGGCAAAAATTAGAAGCATTCAATAAAAGCAACTCAAGCGTACTATATATTATTCTTCATCAAACAGTTACTTTGTCCGGCAGTGTTCACCAAGATTCTAAAATAAAATGTGAAGGTAACCTCTAATGGTTATACTCCTGCAATCCTAATCCCAAATTGATCATCAAATCACATGACTTGTTACAAGAGGACAACGTACCGATACCATTACTTAGTATATTACAACTATCAACATCATATCATAAGACAAGGAATTATTGTACATACATAATTCAATATAGGTATACCTGAAATAATATGCGGGTGCAGTTCCAATGAATTCTTGGGCTATGAACCCCTATAGCTATTCCACTGGAATCGGAATTACTTTAGATACATTCGATCTCGCATTCCCTAAAGCACTGCAAAATTCTATGAATTTCCCGAAATCCACTCACAGCGATAAATCTTAACAAAAACTGGTTTTGGAAATGATCCCAAAAACATTTTAATGGAAGACGTACAAGGCTCCGAATTGAACAGGGCGATACAGGCGATACCATGAAACGGCATAATATAATATTTTGATAGGCTCTCATACTGATAGATAGCTTTAGATGGTTGAGTACTTCCTTATCAGCAGACTGAATGGTGGGAAATTCGCAAAATATTTAACAACATAACGAGTAAATCTATACGTTTTTATTCAACTGGAAATGAAGTGGTATCTGCTAAAATTTTATTGAGACACTGCAAAAGAGTAGAATTTCTGACATTTCACATTAAATATTTTATACGATGGTGCTAAATGATTATGCATGGGATAGATGAATAAATAAATAGGCGATACGTTTACGAAATAACTGATTGAAATTGAAACAGCTAGCGAGTTCCAATGATTAATCATTGATGGCTTTTTAGAGATGTATGAAAGACAATCCAGTCGAGCTCAAGACATTTATATAAAAAAGAAACTTCTCTAGATGTGGTACATGACACCCTCATCGACGACGGCTTGGGCGAATTAATTTATTAAAATAGGTATCCAATTATTATACCCAAAGTGACAGAGAATAGTTTGAAATGAAACTCTTCCCCTATAGAATTTTGAATATGTTTTACTGTTTTCTTGAATTCAAAGTAATTCAAGTTGCTCTCCTCTTGTCCTTTTGGCCTTGATATATTTATAATATTTCACAATCCACGGCACGACAAGAATTACAATAACTACAACTAGTATAGTGAGAACTGTAACCAAGATACTTGATTTATAATTCGAGGAAATTTTAACTTTCTCGTAACAAATATTACCGTCGACATTCACAGCATCAATGGAATTGCCTTTCCGCACAGTAACATCATTGTCAGAAAAAAGTTTGATAACTTCTAGAAGATAATCACAATCGAAATTATTGCCATCCAAGGCAACATACTTCAAATGAGTTGCGTTTTCCACAATACCTTGTACATCTATATGACTAATCAGATTATGCTGGATATTCAGCTCATATAAATTATGCCATGTTCCAGCATCACATTTCAAATCGGATAACGCATTTTTCGAAACATCTAGTGACTGCAAATAAAATGAGCTATCAAAGATTCCACTTGGGAGTTCCTCTATAGCATTTCCCGATAGATTTAAATAACGAATACGATTCAAACTGGAGAAAAGGTCTTCAGGAAGAGAATCTAAATTATTGAATGATAAATCCAAATGTTTCAAATTATCTAAATTATCGAAACAATCGCCTTGTAGGTGTCCAATATTATTCGCATTCAGTGATAAATTTGATAAACTTGAACTAGTAGAGTTGCCACGACCCAAAACAGTATTTATTTGGTTATGAATCAACGTCAACACTTCTAGAGATTCATTTATGTGACCGAGATCGATTGAAGACAAACCATTGCTAGACAAGTCCATAACTTTAACACTATACAGCCCATATGAACTGAAAGAACCCAATAATTTCAAGGAGTTCGAAGACAAATTCAGCGTGGTCAACAGTTTCACTTTCGAAAAAGCATTTTGATCAATGTTCGTTATGAGATTATTAGATAAATCAAGATTCTTCAACACCTCCAAACTATCGAAGTAACTTGAATCTACTGAGGATATATTATTGTAAGTCAGATATAGTATTTCTATCTTCCTCATGTCGAAAAAAGCATCTGGTTCTATTCTCTCTAATCCAGCATGGCTGACGTTGAGCACAGTGAAGTTAGCAAAGGCAGTAAAAGTATTATTCGTGAATTTCAATACTGGTATGGTCGTATTAACTATTTCTAAGGCTTTCTGATAATCTTGAAATGCACGAGATGGTTCTTGATATTTGAGAGGTTCATTATCAGCGAACTTGACATTTTCACATCTGATAATCACTTGTTTACTTTGTTCGTGTATCTCGTATGGACATATCATTTGTATTCCATACGATATATTCAAACAGATGAGCAGAATCAACCATAAGAATAGCATCCACCTGAAAGAAATATGTACTCATTAAAAAAAAAAAAATTAGAAATTCCTATTATCAAGTTCGAAGAGTGTCCGAGGACTTTCTCTTTTTCACTCGGAAGTCATCATATCTCCAGTACTTCATATTATTTCTTTCCCTAACTTGTTCACAAATGAATACTGAAAAGCAATCAATTTCTCATGATTGACTAGACGGATTCTTTTGATGAATTTGCATGCATGAATAAATTGGTTTACATTCTATATGAAAATGTTAAATGACTGAGACTTTTCAATAATTTTCAACAAAACAAGGAGCCCTGGACAATTTTCTGAAAAAGTACCTGGGACCGAATTTGATCATAGCAACGGCATCAAACCCGAGCGTCCATCATTATCTGAAATGAAATGAAATTCGAACCACACATATTGATGATAACGTCAACGCATTAGTAAAGTCAATCACCATCAGAACTTTTTTTTTTTCAACATTCACTTGACCCCATCTATATATATTCCTAAGAGGAAAAAATAAAGTCCTGAAAATTACTGTAGAGTATCTGAGACTGACTTTTAGATATTTTGCTGAGGATTGGAAAATCACCTCGTTGTTGGACAATTTTGTGTTTGTGAGGCGTAGTGTAGGTATATACAGTCTGTTCAAGATAAGGTTGCACAGCATGGGGACCTCGAAAACGGTAGGAGATACGGAGTCGTTAAATGGGGAAAAAGTTGCGCATTCGGAGGCTCATATCAACAGCCTTCCGAAATTTCCAAAATTGTTTCTAGTTTTTCAGTTTTATCGAAAAAAGTGAATTTGTTGGATATCTATTTTATTCGTTTTCTCCGTTATTATTGGAGATACACAAAAACTGGAAATACTTTTTCGAAGCAACTTTTGATGACGTTCAACGTTGTGATACCGACTTTTTCATGCGACGATTCGTATTCGTAGAACCATCATCAACTTTTGTTTTTTATATATGGTTCACAGATTCTGAAATATTTTTTATTTTGATTTCAACTATGTATTATACAAGCTGGTTTGAATGTGCTTCGACCCATTTTCAGCAATCTTCAATGTTTTTTCGAAATTCCAATGGAAAAATGCAACATTGATGGATTAGCTATTCAATACTGAGAAGTGAATAAAAAATATTTCACTATCTCAATCAATGCAGCGCTTCAAATTGTTGATGAATTCTTAAAGCAATTACTTCAATAACTGAACTTTGACACTACTAACAGAAATATTCATAACGAATGTTCAAAATGATGACAATCATTTCCTAAACAAAGATATCCTCATCTCAGTTGTTTCTAAGACATAAAGAAACATTTCTGGGGTTATACTATTGAATGCTTCGATGACACTGTCCCTTGGATTAAATCTAGATATTCCAAAAATTAATTTTTTCGACATAACTGAAAAACTAAAAACAATTTTGAACATTTCCGAAGGCTGTTGGTATGAGCCTCCGAATGCGCAACTTTTTCCCCATTTAACGGACTTATTCGTATCTCCTACCGTTTCCACCCGTTTCCAAGATCCCCATGCTGTGCAACCTTATCTTGGACACACTGTATATACCTATAAACGATTGAACGCTGAACGAATAAAGCCACTTCCAATCCGAATAGAACATGCTGTATTAATTCAACAATCATCAGATTGAGAAACGAAAATGATTCTGGATCAAGTTTTGTCATTATACTGCGAAGTGATGATCTTCTGTACAGGATGTGTCTGAAAGAAAGGTCTGTCCAAAGTCATAGCTAGTCTCGGGGTAAAAATAATTCGATTTGAAGCATTTTATTTCAGTCTGGAATTGCTCTGTTCACGGGATACAGGGTGATGAATTCAAAAAATTGAACCGACAAGTTCACTTCAGAAGAGTATTCTGAAGAATCAATTGCTGCACTGCTCATTTTGACCAAATAACATCCACAGAAATAACAACAAACATTTTTTATGCAAGATAATATAAATGTTCCGGTGCGGCATCGAACCCAAAAAACCGAAATAGTTTGAAAACGGCTCACTTATGCGAATTTTCACAAGTGTACCTTTTGGACTTAGAAAAACCAGTGGGGTACTATATGATATTCATCATTAATATCGATACTTACATTTTCAGTTATTCCAATTATCAACTTTGGAATTGATTTTTTGTCACTCAACTCAAATATTATAACAGATAACAGGAACAGCGGATCATTTCATGATATATGATTCAACTACGAGAATGTCTATATTCAACTCTGAGCACTTTGATTCACACTTGATGCAATTCATCGTTCCAATGAGAACCAGATTCGAAGATAATTGCCCATCAGCTATCTCATATTTGATTATAATGGAATTTACATTCTATCAGGATAATCAAATAGACAAACCATTTTCTATATGTTTCTGGCGATTTATTTTGAATGTATTGTTTCTTATCGCAATTTTTCAATAATCCTATATGTACTCAACATTCATATAGAAGTGATATACTTGATTATATTTATATTTAAGTGGATAGACAATTTCAAAATCTACTACAGACATCAGACAATCACCAATTACATACATGAAAGCATAAAACGGATATGCGATAATTTTTTTCGTGACTTCGAGAAGAAGTATCAGCAGTAAGTGTCCCTTATTTGCTCGGAAAAAAAAAATGTTCTGAGACAGGAATCCAATTGTTTTTCTATAAATGGTTCAATATCTCGAAAAACTGAGGATTTTTCTGTGGTCGACTCGTAGTTTTTGTCATACGTTATAAACTTGTTCATCACCAGCTAGAGTATGATCCATGGAATGCCAGGCGCATTTTTTCACACCTTCCCAGACGACGGCATCGGCGTGTTGAAATCTGTAAGCCTCTGTGGCCAATAGTAGCGCTAAAAAAATTCACTTTAGGCACCTGCGCATATCGATACCATAGTTCAATAGTGTAAAATCTCAAAAATCGTAGTTTCGAGAAAATCGCAATTGATATTTCAGCTCATAATAATTTATGATTTTGGTTAATGTACCCAAACATAGCGATTACCTATAGATTTCTGAAGATCTCCTGAAGATGCCAACTAATTGGTTTGATGAAACATTCTTTAATTATTGAAAAAAATACATCTGATGGCGGGTAGCGACCTCTAGTATATATACCAGCAATATTCTATTATTAGGTCGAATCATTGTCGGAAGCTTCGGCAGATGAAAGAGAAAGTAAAGGACGCTGTATCTCGTTAGTTCATTTTTAATCAATCGATATATGTGTGGAGAGATTAGAGTTCCTCCACCACAGATGGCGCTTGGAATATATCGATATCTGTAGAAACATAGATTGAACGCGTTGCCATTCAGATGGCAATACTTATCTGAACATCACGAATATTCATCATCTCTATCAACATTGGTAAAATTGTTGATCGAAGGCAACCTAGAGAGTTAGCAAAATTTTTACAAAGTTGCCTAATCACGAATAAGCGATAATAGTTGGCGTTCGTATAGGTATATACTCAACAGGAGGATGCACCGCATTTTCGCAGTTTCGGATTATTTTGGTCCAAAATTGTTGTATCCAAAAACAACCATGAAAGGAATGGTCCTTGATTGGGATACCTGTTATGTATCAGTTTCCCTGGAAGTACTTTTCCGAAATAGTTTAGTGAGTACATATCTCACGTTCACCTGAATGGAGATTTTTCTCAATATACACGAATATAACATACTTAGCTGGAAAGTCTAAGGGACTTATCCGGAATAAAGAATTTAAGTTGATTGGTTCATCAGTTCCTGTGAGAAGGTATTGTTGTTTCTTGTGTATAGAGATGTCACTACCCGGAACTTCGTTTTTCCTCAATACCTCTTCATGATCCTTGGAGTCAAAATGCAAACGTGATATAGGCAACATTGGCAACATCGACTTATTGAAGAAATTAACATATAAAACTCTCAATTATTGCTAGTAGTTGACAGTATCAAACTTCGTAAATCATCATGAAGACGTCACTTATGACTGGAGTGGGGAATTTTCACTCACGGAGAAAAAAAATCACTAACCCAAAGCGAATATTTAATAGTGGCAAGTAAAAACTTGTATACTATATGGGACGAGGAATCAAGTTAATAACCACAAGAATATTTGTGTTCCTGAAAATGTACACCTACCACTATTGACCTGTTTCATCAAATTTCAGAGTGATATCGGTTAGTGAACACATCACTTGTCATCAGTGACCTATTCAATTGTCATTAGTAACTCATTCACTTTTAATTAGTGACTTGTTCACTAGTCATTAGTGGCCTTATTAAATGTCATTAGTGACTTATCTACTAGTCATCAGTGACTTATCTACTTGTCAATAGTGACTTATTCACTTGTCATTAGCTAGTATGAAAAAATACCTCCATTGTTCTCTGAAAAATGATAAAACCTTGGTAATAAAACAAAAACACATGCATTCAAAATATTTTATTATATAGGTATGATGAATCCAGAAAAAACAAAAAAGGTAAGGCTGACGACAAATATTGAGATACTAGATACCGCATCATGCACCGAGAAAAACGGTACTCTCACTCACTGCACTGCACTCTGGTTCACTATATCTTTTTCCTTCCAGCGTTGAAGATGAATCAACTTTCATACTTTTTAAACGTTACTTCCTTCCACTTCGAGTATCATAGGGAGTGGAAAAAAATCCTGTACATATGTAGAAACAATTATGTACTGTTCTAGAAGAGTTTTGTATTTCATTATCTCCTTCAAGAGAACAGATCAAGAACTCAACATCCCATGCACAGCTCAGAGCACTGCCACAGACCACGGCACACAAACAGAGAATAATTCTCATACGGATATGATATATAGTAGTTGTTCGAAAGGGCACTTGCATGACTTGGAATTTCAATGTTACTAGCGGGAACGCAAGTATACTAACTTCACGAATGCTAAGATCGAAATGACGCCGTGGACTCGTGGACACTGGACAGTGATCGCGTTGGGCGTGGGTACTCGAATGATATCGGAGATGTCCGAACGGAAAAGAGATCTATAACTACAGGTGAGCTGTCACCTGCAACAATCGACTTGATATATTGTCTTTATTGATGAGTTCGCTCAGAGCAAGTGATCTTATGTCAGAAAAATAATTTAATAATAGTGAGTATTCGTTAACCCAGCACTAGTTTAGTGTTCACTTAGAATTAGTGAACTCTAAGTAAATATCGAGTTCGTTGATACCAACAAGTGTTCAGACCACTTACAGCAGAAACTTCGTTCCAGAAATATAGTTTTGCCTACTGCAAGTACCATATTTTCCTACCGTTGGTGAAAATATTCTTGTCACAATCGACTTTTTTTCAAGAAAACAATTTACTTGGCCGAGTTTTCTCAGTGCTTATCATCTCCCTTGCCGCAGAATTATTACAAATACTGTTTTTCAACGCTATTGATGTTTTCTATGAATAATATCATGAGTGGAACCGGCAAAAAATCATCGGGAAATGATTCTGCTGCGTGGGAGATTTGCTAAGGAAGTTTCATAAATTGGAGCTGGTAATACTCGTTTTTGTTACTATAATTATGTGAGAAACAAATATAGTCCAATAGAAGAAGGTAACAACCATGACATCAAGTAGATTCCGTACTCTTTTTTCTCAATTTGTAGGTGTTCATGGGTAGATTACTTTCTACAAAAATGACCACCGGGAAATGACTAGATGGGGAAAATAGCTCCATGGTCCCTAATGTCAGAATTTCCCAACTTTCCCAAACAAAATATGACACTCAGGCAAATTATAATTGAACATAAAATGAGAGAGCAGTTCATTACCTACAAAAAGGATGCCCAATATCCAATATCATTTTTGTCAAAGTTTTAACAATTTTTTACGTTACTCGAATGAAACATTTCCTCCACTCATGTTTTCAAAAACTTCACAGATTAGAAGTATGGATTGATTTTTTGTTTCAAAGGACCGATGCTTTATATTTGTCAAAAAATTTATGAAATTTATTCTATTTAGAAGTGAAGAGCATCGATCAGTTGCGAATGGTACTTAGTGTAATGATCAAGTGAAGATTTTAGAAACATGGGCGGAGGCAATTTTCAATAAGGCCACAAAATATTAATATTTTTGTTGTTATTGATGAACTAAATACAAAGTATGTGCTATCTCCTTATTCCAAAATGAGCAATTCTCAATGACAATATACAGGGAGTGTCAGTTAATGAAAACAACATTTGCAATATTTCATCACATCAAGCCACCATACATATATACAATCTATAATAATAATTGTTCTATGCTACAGATCCTTCATTTTCTCAATGCCTCAGAAAATTTGTTCAACAGATTATATCTTGATCCCCGCCACCATGGAAAATTAATTCAAATTTTGTAGTAAATTAATGATGATAATTATTGTCTTCCCTAGCGTAATAGACAGAAATGTTTCAATTCAGGTATAGAATCAAGGATCAAATATCTACTTCAAAGTCGTGGGTTATATCGGACGATCTTTTTTCACGGATACCTCTTCAACCTCTGATAGATATTTTCAAGTGACAATGTTAACTTGATCAATGTCTTGCTATAGAATGCATTAGGTAATTAGATTTGGTTTCGTATAACAAAAGAAATACAGACATATTATTGAAAATATCGTCCTAGTTAACAGTACTATATAGAATTTGGCAGTTTTTCATGCACTGAATATAATAGAGTACATTCAACGTTCTTTCATATCGTTTCACTTAGAACCCAATACGTTAATCCAAAACTAAATTTACCTTCACCCCAAGCACTATAGCCGGCGCTAGTTAGACTTCGCCGATAGGCGATTGTTGATAACCAATGACTCCCAAGAATTGATCACCATAACAGTCAGTGGCGATCTTATGGCGATTGATGCGAATATCGCTCATCAAGTCCACGTTATAATGCAATATGCACGGATTCTTGAACAACTCATAGTTGCTAGCACTTGAAGAGTTCGCTATTACCTATTCATGCGAATTCCCTGTCCTCGTCACAAGGACATTTTTCAAAGAAATTAATGAACCCATGAATACCTACGAGTTAGATGAAAGTTTAAGATTCATCCGATGTCAAGTTACGATCCACTGAATAATTTCAATTTACTGCATTCTCATAGACTGATACCGTGAACTTCTTCTCGAATGATTTCTTCTTTTAGAGATGATTTTTTGAGTATAAGTTATCAATTATAAGTGTACTTATCAGAAGGAAGGCTTATTTCATTGGATACTTCTGAAGCATTGGGTAATTTGGTAGTTCAGATATCA